CTTTGAATCTAAAGTGTGTCTCTTATAATAAGACAGTGTATAGTTGGATTACGGCTTTTTAGCCACGCTGCCTGTCTCTGCCATTTGATTAGAGTGTTTAATCCTTTTAATCTTACTGTAATTACTGATAACGTAGGATTCACATCTGCCATTTTGCTATTTTGTTTTCTGTACGTATTAGATCTTCAGTTCCTCCTCAAACAGAAGATCAGAGTTGGCCAAAAGTGAGACTGTAGTGCTTTCTCTGTGCTTTCCTGGGTTTACATGCAGCCCTAGACATGAGCGTGGCCTCCGAGGTTTTCAAGAATATGTGGAAGCTTTTCAGAGCTCCTTACGGACATCTAATTCTTCAGTTTTTCCTTTTAAGTTTTTTGGTCAGCTTCTTGCTGTCCCAACTGGCAGTGCTGCCTCAGGCAGCCCGGTTGTTAAACATTTGCTGCTGATTGATTGTGAAAAATGCCCTGTGGCTAGTGACCGCCAGCTGTTAGATAGATAGTGACAGTTCTTTAGGGATGGGGCTTTTTTAGGTAGCTTCTTCTGGGGGCTGCTAGGCTACTCGTTCTTAGAGCTACTGTAGTTGCACAACTATTCGTTTATAAGGCTACTTCTGAGCTGGAGAAAGTACAGGAATTAGGGCAAGGTAACATGCGACAGTGCCCACTGTTCTTAGGAGATTCAGTAGTTTTTCTGGAATAAACACTCCTCAGATTGCTATACCCCTTTAGTTAATTTCCAGAGTTCTAAAAAAGTTGATTTTGACAGTTTTTGCCAGCTTTCTTGTTCCTTTTTAAGCAGGAGTGGAGTGTCAGACATCCTTTCTGGAAATGAGATCTCAAAAATGTATATGCTGAATGGGGATATCATTCATTACACATGGTAGAGACATCTGATTGGTAACGTCTTGGTTATAAGGTGTACCCAAAGTAGTGGGAGACATTAAGTGACTTCTCTTGGGCCGCCTGAAGATCTGTAGGGACCCCTCTACCATAGCTCTCTGAGACCCGGGCTGCTGTGTCAGAGTGTCCGGTCATGTCCTTGGGAGCTACGGCCCTAAGTGCTGCTGTGTCACGAGTAAAGCCAACCTTGACTTACAGCTGCTGTGAAGTCCTATCAGGCATAGCATGCAGGGTCCCTACCACCAGTTCTGCTGACCTGAGTGGCACTCTTTCTGGTCTGCAGTCTTCTTGTGAAAGAAAAAAAAAAAAAAATGGAGATAACCACCTAGAGCTAATTATGAAGGTTAAATGAGAGAATTTTTTTTCCTTCTCCAGAATAGACAGGCATTCAGTGTGTCTTATTTCACATGCCAGGCTTGATTCTGGAGGACGTACCAGTAATCCTGGGGCTCTTAAGCGAATAGTGCGATTTGGCCTCTTTGCAGAAGTGTTACAAGTGCATCTGTATGCTTGGGTTACTTTGCAGCCTCCCTTTCCTGTCATCAGATAGGGCAAGTGGTGGCTTAGATGGAGGAACTTGCCCTTTTTGGATAGGCTCAGTTATCAAGTGGCTAAATGAGCCTTCCCTAAATGAAGAATCATTTGGAATGTCTAAAACCAGCAGGGGGAAGATGTCTCCTGTGGTAGAAAGCTCTAATCATTTTTAGAATTTTGAGTACATGAAAAGGTTGCTTTAAAAAGCATGTGACCTTGTTGCTGTTCTGTTAGTCATTATGGGGTTTTGTTTTGAGACTATACTTTTCAAAACCAGTGCAGAAAAGGGAGAGACCATCTCTGATTAGCTACATGAGTCCTTACAGTGCTCAGAAAACCATTTGGGATCATTTAAACTCATGGAGCTATTTGCTATGACTTAAGATTTAAAGAAAGCCCAGTTCAAGTAGAAATTTAGTTGACCACCTGAAAAATATTATATCTTCTTTGTACTTAAATGTTTATCTTTGGGGTGCCTGGGTGGCTCAGTCAGTTGAGCCTCTGATTTCAGCTCAGGTTATGATCTCACAGCTTCCAAGTTCAAGCCCCGCATCAGGCTCTGTGCTGATGCTGGAAGCCTGGAGCCTGCTTCAGATTCTGTGTCTCTCTCTGTCTCTGCCCCTCCCCTGCTTGTGCTTGCTTGCTCGCTCTCGTAAATAAACTAAAACTATTTATCTTTTTTTTTTTAATTTACATCCAAGTTAGCATATAGTGCAATAATGATTTAAAGAGCAGATTCCAGTGATTCATTCCCTACATATAACACCCAGTGCTCATATCAAGTGTCCTCCTTAATGCCCCTTGCCCGTTTAGCTCATCCCCCCCACCCCCCTACCCCTCCAGAGCCCCTAGTTTATATTTAAGAGTCTCTTGTTTTGCCCCCTCGCTGTTTTAATATTTTTGCTTCCCTTCCATCATGGTCATCTGTTTTGTATCTTATTATATTCCACATATGCATGAAGTCATGTGATAACGTGTCTTTCTCTTACTAATTTCACTCAGCATAATACCCTCTAGTTCCATCCATGTTGTTGCAAATGGCAAGATTTCATTCTTTCTGATTGCTGAGTACTACTCCATTGTGTATATATACCACATCTTCTTAATCCATTCAGCTACCGGGGGACATCTTGGCTCTTCCCATACTGTGGCTTTGTCGATAGTGCTGCTGTAAGAATTGGGGTGCATGTGCACCTCCGAAACATCACACCTGCATCCTTTGGATAAACACCTAGTAGTGTGGTTGCTGGGTCATAGGGTAGTTCTATTTTTAATTTTTTGAGGACCCTCCATACTGTTTTCCAGAGCGCCTGCACCAGTTTGCATTCCCACCAGCAGTGCAAAAGAGATCTCCTTTCTCCGTGTCCTTGCCAACATCTGTTGTTGCCCGAGTTGTTCTTTTTAGCCATTCTGATAGGTGTGAGGTGGTATCTTGTTGTGGTTTTGATTTGTATTTCTCTGATGATGGTGATGTTGAGCATTTTTTCATGTGTCTGTTAGCCATCTCGATGTCTTTGGAAAAATGTCTATGTCTTTTGCCCGTTTCTTCACTGGACTATTTGATTTTTGGGTGTTGAGTTTGATAAGTTCTTTATAGATATTGGATACTAACCCTTTATCTGATATATCGTTTGCAAATATCTTCTCCCATTCTGTCAGTTGCCTTTTAGTTTTGCTGATTGTTTCCTTTGCTTTTGTTTCCTTTGCCTCTGGAGACGTGTTGAGTAAGAAGTTGCTGCAGCCGAGGTCAGAGAGGTTTTGCCTGCTTTCCTCTCTAGGATTTTGATGGCTTCCTGTCTTACATTTAGGTCTCTATACATTTGGAGTTTATTTTTGTATATGGTGTGAGAAAGAGTCCAGGTTCATTCTTCTGCGTGTCGCTGTCCAGTTCTCCCAGCACCACTTGCTGAAGAGACTCTCTTTATTCCATTGGATGTTCTTCCCTGCGTTGTCAAAGATTAGTTGGCCATGTGTTTGTGGGTCCGTGAAACGTTTATCTTTAACTGTGGATTCCTCTGACGGTACAGATACAGATAAAATGCCTTGAATAAGTTATTAATTTTTGGATACGTTTTGTTTTGAAAAGTTTGGCAAGAAGCATCTCAGTTATTAAGGGGAGTTTATACTAGAACCACTTACTGATAAATTGAATTTCTTCTTTCTAATAATTAATAACACTGTTGACATTCTGTGTCAGTAGGCAGGTTCTGTTTAACCTTTCTTGAGGAAGACTGCTGGTATGATTTGTTTTTAGTATTTCAAAAATTTTTAGCAGGTGACCATAGCTACTTGTTTCCTTAATAAATGTAAGTATTTTAAGTACGTTACACAGTTCTGCCTGTATTTATGAGCAAAAAGACATTGAAATAGGCACAATATTTAATTGCATGCTTTCCATACATATTATTGCAGTATCAGGGTTTATGGTATTTAAATATTGTGAACTAGACTTTCTCTTTTGCCCTCTTTATATCAAAAGTCAGGAAACGCAGGGCGGGTATAGATTGCAGTTATTTCTGTACACAAGCCTAAGAGTGACCACGGCAGTGCCACCATATGAAGTATCACTTTGCATCTGCGATGCCATCAGGTCGCCATTGGAGAAATAGCAGCGCTCTGCAATTTGTCTTGCTTCTTGTGTTTTAACAGCATTTCTTTTATGACTGTCGTAGTAGCTTTATCTCCCCCCTGAAATATTTAAGAGGAAGAATAATTAATCCATTCTCTTCCATTCCCTACCTCTAGATATTTGGGTTAAATACAGTCCTGTGTTTGAGCTCCTTTAAATTGTATCTTGTATGTGAGACGTCTATGAAGGCCTTGGGTGCAGCAGCACAGAATATAAATTAAGTGAATTGCCTAAAATTAAGGTTAAAAAATATTCAGTCCTTTTTTCTCAGTAGTAAAGTGATACTAAATAAATTCCAGTCTTTATATTGTGCTTCATGCAGTCTCCAGTTAACCTTTTGTTGCTTATCTCTCCATGAAATTTTTTTTTAATTAAAAACGTAATTGTTTTGCAGCACTGTGAGGTTTACAGTAAACTAGAGGAGGGTACAGAGATCTCCCATATGCTTCTCCCGCATGAACAGCCTACGCCATTATCCAGCTCACTCACTAGAGTGGTACATCTTAGTCAGGGATGACCCTCTGTTGACACATTATCATCACCTAAAGCCCATCATTTACCTAAGGATTCATTCTGGGTTGTTACACCTTCAGTGGCCCTGGACAAATGTGTAACGACTTCTGTTTACCATTGTGATGTCCTATAGATCGTTCTCACTGCCCCCAAAAGCCCCCTGTGCTCTGCTGCCTTGTCGCCCCCCGGCTCCCCACCCCTGGCAACCACTCGGCTTTTCATTCTCTCTCTGGTTTTGCCGTTTCCACATTGTCCGTATCTTTTAAACGTAGTCCATAGAGAGCCAGAAATTCTGGGCTGTCCGGTAACTGAGGGACACATTTCCTCCACATCCAGACTTCAGCATTCATTTTAGATCTGCATAAACTTTCTCTCTAGCCAGAGATGGGCGTTCCGCATTGACATCTATTGGTATTTGTTTTTCTTAGACACAGACAGCAATTCTGAGGATTCTGGGAATCCGTCAACAACCAGGTTTACGGGCTACGGTTCTGTCAACCAGACCGTCACTGTCAAGCCACCTGTTCAGATTGCTTCATTAGGAAGCGACAACGGAGGCCTTTTAGAAGATCCCCTAAATGCGCCCAAGTATCAGCATATTTCTTTTATGCCAACTTTACACTGTGTCATGCACAACGGTGCCCAGAAGTCCGACGTCGGTGTCCCTCCACCCAAATCAGCTGACGGCAAGACCATAGGGATGCTCGTTCCCAGTCCTGTTGCTATTTCTGCAATAAGGGAGTCCGCAAATTCTACCCCTGTTGGAATACTGGGGCCAGCGGCTTCTCCCGGAGAATCCGAGAAACACCTTGAATTACTGGCTTCCCCGTTACCTCTTCCGTCGGCGTTCCTCCCACACAGCAGCACCCCTGCTCTGCACCTGACAATTCAGAGACTAAAGCTGCCGCCACCACAGGGGTCCTCGGAGAGCTGCCCGGTCAACGTCCCACAGCAGCCGCCCGCGAATCTGAGCATCGGATCACCAAACACTGCCTTTCTCCCTGTCCACAGCCCGGGGAGCTTTCCGGGCTCTCCTGTTGCTACCACGGACCCCATCGCCAAGTCTGCATCCCCGGTGGTAGGACTTAATCAAATGGTGCCTCAACTCGAGGGAAGCACCGGGACAGTCCCTCAGCCTAGCAATGTGAAGGTAGTCGTCCCGGCAGCCGGCCTCTCGGCCGCACAGCCACCAGCGTCCTACGCCCTGCCGGGGCCCCCCCTCGGCGCCAGCGCGCTGCCCAGCCAGAGCCCCAGCGCGCTCAGCCCGGCGGCCCAGGCCCCGGGCAGCGGGCAGGCCCAGCCGGCCAGCGCCCCCGCGGTCCCCACCCACACCCCGGGCCCCGCGCCCAGCCCGAGCCCCGCTCTCACACACAGCACCGCGCAGAGCGACAGCACGTCCTACATCAGCGCCGTGGGGAACACGAACGCTAACGGGACAGTCCTGCCGCCGCAGCAGATGGGCTCGGGTCCCTGCGGCTCTTGCGGGCGAAGGTGCGGCTGCGGGACCAACGGCAGCCTTCAGCTCAACAGCTACTACTATCCTAACCCGATGCCCGGACCAATGTACCGAGTCCCGTCCTTCTTTACTCTGCCGTCCCTCTGCAATGGCAGCTACCTCAACCAAGCACATCAGAGCAACGGAAACCAACTTCCTTTCTTTCTGCCTCAGACTCCATATGCAAACGGACTGGTGCACGACCCCGTCCTGGGGAGCCAAGCCAACTACGGCATGCAGCAGATGGCAGGGTTCGGGAGGTTCTACCCCGTGTACCCGGCGCCCGGCGTGGTTGCCAGTGCGAGCGGTTCGGGGCCCAAGAAGAACGGGAACGTCTCCTGTTACAACTGTGGTGTGAGCGGGCACTACGCACAGGAGTGCAAGCAGTCGTCCATGGAGGCCACTCAACAAGGTAATCATGAGAGCTCCCAGAGGACCTGTTTTTGAGGGTGCCCGTGTCTCGCTACCGCACTGAGCACGGCGAGCCCACTGTGGCCGAAAGCGCTGGTGTGTGCTCGCTTACAGATGGTGTGCTTTCGGGGACAGAGCCCAAGAGGCAGATGGGAAAACGTAGCGTAGACCCGGGTCACCCAGCACAAGGGAGTCGAGAGGAATTCAGTTTCCAGTGAGAGTGTAATAACCGTTGAGGCACTTTTGAGGGAATAGAATGGGAATTTGTGTCACCTGATGGCACATCTCTTGTTTGCAGCACTTTTTTTTTTTTTTTAAGCTACAGTCCTGTTTCGTAGAGTAGGTGAAATTTTTAAATAGGAAGAAGTGGGAAGTCATTCTGGTCACCCGACAGGTGTGATTGTTAGCTGCTGGTCAGCACGTGTGTGCACGGCCAGCCGGCCCCATGCACACTGCGCCACGCTGCCACGCTGCCCCTTCCCCTCCCAGCAGATGCTTAGGAAAAGATGTTATTGCATTTGAAGGAACAGAATATTTAAGCACTGGTTTGGGAGCAAAGGAATTCATTTGAACTCCGTTGAAGGTCATCACCACCAGGAACAGGAAAGATGTCCTTAAGTAAGTAGGAGCAAGAGCACAAACCCAGCGTAGACGTCAGATTGTTCTTAGATTTGGCCTTTGTCCATTTTGCCAAGTCTCATCCAGAAAAGAAGTCTTGAAGTGCGAACGTGCATTTGGCATTTTTAAAGGAAGATCGGGTTTGCTAGCGTTAGGTTGGTTAAAGCACAAACTCCCTGTTACTGTTGGACGGTAACCATATGTACCGTTTGGAAGTGCAGTAGGGCGGAGGAGGCCGTCTTCCGGCGAGCATGCCCTAAAGTGATGTCTTGTAGTGGTTTGTGATGCATTGCATTGTAAGCGGTGACTTAGCAGTTCTGTCTTTCCCGTTTTAGGCACTTACAGACTGAGATACGCACCTCCCCTCCCCCCTTCTAATGATACGTTGGATTCTGCAGACTGAAACACGTAAAGCTTGACTGCTTAATACCCTGACGTGTTGCGGAGTCATGGTGGGGTGTGGAGGGGAGGAAAGGAAAGGTATTTCGTTTGTGTTTCTTTGTCTCTACATTTCCTAGATTTCTATGCACTTGGGAATTTTCATTTCTGTTGTACTGATGTCCAAAACAAAAAGAATGCATTGCTTTTGAGCCTCTGGTCTCCCGGTTCAACAGCAGGCTTATCTGTATGATACATGTAATCTAAACCTCCACACTATCGAAAGGAAAATGTCTGCTGTGCTGTTTTTTTTTTTTTTTTACACTGAATACTTGCTGTGTGCAATGTTTACTGAATCTTTAAAACTGTGTATTTGACCTTTTTTTTTTTTTTTTTAACAACACTGGTGACAGTCATATGGTTTTGAAAAAGAGAAACTTTGCTTCTTCCCAGCTTTTCTCACTTTGACCCCAAAGGACACACATCTCCCCACCACCCCCTTTCCTGTGGCCTGTAAATCCAGGGTGAAGTGCTTCACCTTCATCTGAGAGGAGAAATCCAGTTCCCCAAGTCATGTGTATATATGTAATAAACAGCATCGCGTAAATACATATATGCAGTGCTCGTGATCCAAATCACAATTCACGTTAAGTGGAAGAGAGCGGAAGAAGTAAAACCATATGAAACTGAAAAACATATGATGTATGAAGTGGACAAAGCTTTTTCTTAAAAAACAAAAGCGACAAAAAAAAGTTTTTACTTCGTCATACTTTTTTAGCCTGTTGCTTCCGAGAGACACAAAGTGAACAAACGTGTGAGTGTTGTGTGTGTCTGTGTCTGTGCTGAAAGTCGACGGCCGATCTCTCGTGCAGTCCACCACTGCGTCGTGCTAGAGACACCCACCGTAGCAGTGTTGCGTTGTGTTTGAGACGCGTGTGGTCCGCTGCAGTCCGGGCGGAAGCTCCGGCGTGTGCAGAAGTCACGTTCCTTCCCTAACCCGTCTCTCTCGTAGCAAAGTCACTTTGATAAGTTTACCACTATGCGTGATGATAATGTGAAAGACTGGCTTCCGAGTGTGTTCAGATGGTAGTAATCATGTCCGTGTCCTGTCACTAAGTTTAATGCTGCTGTTTTAAAAAGAAAAAAAATTGTTTTTTTTTTTTTTTTAAAAAGCCAATCTATGTACTAAATTGCTTCCAGGTAATTTTTGATTTCCTAAAGTGCACTGAGATTATCTGGAAGCCTGGGTGTATTTTTGGAACTGCTGCATTCAACAGCAATGAGCAACGACCGCTGTGCCGTCAGGGGGTCAGGCTCGGGCTGCTTCTGTTTTCCCCGTTCCTCAGTCCAGAGCAGAGGGGGCAGAGTCGTGTCCCGCGGGGGCACCATCGGTGCACAGCAGAGGGACTTCGATACTTGGTCTGGGGTCAGAGGCCTAACAGATTGCTAGATAAAATGAAAAACTTGAAGAAAAAAGAAGCTTCGTGTAATGCTTCCCGTGTAGCATTTATATTTATAGCAGCAATGTCCATTTTGAAACTAACTTTCAGGGTGGGATTTCAGGGGGGAAGGGAACGGGGTGGGTGCGAAGGGGTAGATGAAAGCTTTAATTTAAAAAGAAAGTTGGAGTAAAGGAAATTATTTTGATTAAATATATTTTATTTGATCTGGGTATTTTTGGACCACATTATTAAATTAATTGCTAAGCTGTCGTTGAGTTGTTCAAGTGAGAGTTTTGATAAGCCACGTATGGGCCGCGTCGGGAACCACTTGCCAGTTGTACTTTATGGAGCTTATTTTATGATTTAAAATACTGTACTGTACATAGGAGGTATGTTACCTTCTCCTTATTTGTATGTTTACCATATACTTTGATATTTGAAATGTTATGTACTGGAAAGGCCACTTATATTTCTAGAACAGATTGGATTTTATGCAACCCTTTTTCCTTGAATTAACAGCAATAAAAAAAATGAAAAACACCTTCAGAATTGTGGTTTTTTGCAACTTTTGTAAAAGTGAAAGGACATCACACACAGTGATTTGTTTTTCCAGTTGAGTGAATCCAGCCACTTTCCCCTGCGATGTGGGGCATGTGGGGCAGCGAATCCCAAAGTTTCCTTACCCGCTGGATGTTTTCCAGTTTCTTCCCAGTAGCCTTGCTTTGGGGATCGTCTGTGTGACCACGAAAAGCAGAGACTCTGTTTCCGGGCCCACTGAGCACACGCCGTGTGCCCGGAGCTGTGTTTCTGGTTGAGGCTTCCCTCCCCGAAGGTGGAGAGAACATGATTCACTTTCGCAGATTCATTACGATTGTGTTTTTCCAGGCAACTGTCCGTACATTAGTGACTAGCTTTCATTTCACCGGTTCTGTCGTCTGGGACCCAGTCTCCAGTCCATTTTCACGCAGTGATTCATGGGGGGACTTGCCTAGTGTGCACCGTACAGTCAGGTGTGGTGGTGGTCCCCGAGACGTCTTGTCACTGCGGCCCGAGCCCTGTCCCCCGCTTGTCACCAGCATTCATGCCATGGCGGCCACTTGAGGGCTGACAAGGCAGCGGACGATTGTCCAGTGGCACCTGAGTGTTCCCTCTGGCCCCGTTCGGACGGCGCGTTCGAAATGATCGCAGAATCCCCGAGGGTTCCCAGAGCCCCAGCCCCCTTCGGCCGGCACGCGCACACCTGTACGAGGGACACGCAAGCTGCCAGCCACCTTCAAGTTAATGCGCCGGCTGCCCGTGTCCTTACCTGTGTCCCCCCCCCCCCGCCCCCCACTGCACCAAGGAGCCCACAGCGCTAAACTCTTATCACCCCCGTGCTTTGTCCCTCACATCTTACATCCTCCTCTCTCACACACACACTGTACTACTTTTCTCGGGCTTTCCGGAAAAGGGGTCTCGTACGTAGTCTTTTGTGACTGTCTCTTCTCATCTGGTTTTGGGGCCCTAATGTTATATTCCTACAGTGTATTTGTGTTCTCTAACTTTCCACTGTTCTGTCACATGGGGGGAAAACACACACACACACACACACACACAGTTTATCCATTTTGTCCACAAATGTGGGTGCTTTTCTTTTTTTCTTTTTTCTTTTGTTGCTCTCAAGAGCGTGTTTGTAGCATGTGTTGGGTCGTGCTTGCAACCGTTATCTAGGATACAAATCCAGGAGTGCAAGTGCTGGGTTGTAAGACACACAAAAATACTCAAGTTTTCCACGATTTGCCAAATTGTTTTCTAAGTGATTTACACTCTTGCTGCCAGCATCCGGTCCTTTAGTCCATATCCTGACACCCTCCTGGATGGGGGTGACAGTGCCACAGAAGGCTGGGCACTGGAGGACCAGGCGTCTCCTGGAGGAGCCCGTGTCAGGCTCTGTGGAGGGAGTGTGGAGAGGGGCAGGGTCCGCGTGGTCCCAGTGAGGAGGAGGGGACGCAAGGGAAGGCACGGGAATGGAAGTGACCGTGTTTGGTGGCCAGGGATATGGGAGGAGGAGACGAAGGAGATGCAGGAGACAGAACATTTGGGACAGTTGTGAGGTGTGTGGTTCAACAGGTAGAAAAGAGTCAAGCTGGAGATTTTGAGATCGATTGAAAAATGCAATTTCCAAGTTTCAAACAGAGGAAGAACACGTTGATGGTATAGTTACACCTTGGTTCGCAAGCATAATTGGTTCTGGAAATGCCTGTCATCCAAAGCACTTGTATATCAAAACGAATTTCAAGAACCATTGGCTCAGCTGTGATCATGTGACGTTCCGTATCACGTACTACTCGTATTGCAAGACGTCGCTCATTGATCAGGTTAAAATCTACTAGAAATGTTTGTTCATCTCGCGGAACACTCGCAGAACGTGTTCCTTGCAATCCAAGGTTTTACGTATTTAAAGAAACTTGGGTGGTTGAGGAAAGAAAGTCTGGCTGTTCGGAGGCTGCTTAGGGCACCGGTGAGGCAGCAGGAAAAGCAGGGACAGACGAGGCGAAGGGAAGGAGCCTTGGGCCTCTGAGCTGCATTTTCCCCAGAGAGAAAATGAGACTATTTTAAATTATAGCCATGAGGGTTGAAAGAAACCACACATGTGAAAGTTCCAGCGTAATGAAGTAGCACCAAGGAGGCATGCCGATGTCTGCTGAATTCGATTTTGATGAACAGGACAATTGAGGCACCGGTTGAGAGGCCTGGAACCGTGGAGGAGAACGGAGTCTAGGTGGAAGGGAGGTGGTGAGGAACCTAGTAAAACACAGTTCTGTGTTACGTCGGGCTCAGTTACTTCAGCCCTGTCCCCTGATAAAAGACCAAATACTCCCTGTCCTCAAAAATTAACTCTAGTCGGAGAGCTTACCAACTAATGGCAGCTATGGACTGAGTCGCACAGTCCCGATTATTCGACACTGGAGTAGAATAAGTACGGTCACAAGGCAGATCCACATTTAACTTTTCATGTAAGTGCTAAAAATCAAAATTTTCTGAGAAGGTTCCAGAGAGATTAAAGCACAGTGTAAAATAATCTTTTTTTTTTTTTTTTTTTTTTGACAGGTAGCATCTAGTACTTAAAAGCATCATCCACGTGAGCTTGGAAGACACCTTTTTTTCAATTCTACACACTGATTACAAAAGCAGTTTAAGGTTAAGGCAGTGAAATCGAAGGGAGGCAAGCGGTGATAATAGTTTGACCCTGGAACCCTTCCATCACTTCATCTCAAAAGAATAAAGGAAAATGCTGACTTCCCCCACCCTGTCCACCCCACAGAAAGGCCCATTTATTTTCAGAGAAATGAGGTGTGGGGCTGTAAGTGAGCAAAGTGAGCAAGAGGAGGGGTGCTCTGACTTCAAACATGGTCGCCATATCTCCGGACCTTCCTTTTGGGGGGTGAAGGGCCAGCTCTTACAAGCATGGTGGGCTCTGGGGTCCCAGGTGTAAACTCCGATGTACCCATCACAAGGACCATGCACAGAGGGCAGCACTGTTCCAGAGAACTCCCATCAGCACACTGGCTGATGCAGTTTGGATCCCGAAGTTCAATCTAACATCAGCATTTGATCACCACTTACACCACAGCTTTTGTGCCTATAACTTGAGACATTGACCTAATTTTTAAAAATACTCTTTTAATGTTTATTCATTTTTGAGAGACCGAGTGTGACTGGGGGAGGGGCAGAGAGAGAGAGAGGGAGACACAGAATCGGAAGCAGGCTCCAGGCTCTGGGCTGTCAGCACAGGGCCTGACGCGGGGCTCGAACCCACAACCGTTGACGTCATCACCTGAGCCGAAGCCTGGCGCTTGACCCACGGAGCACCCAGGCGCCCCGACACTCACCTCATTCTTAAATGCATTCCTCTTTTGAAAAACGTGAGCCCTCTGGATTGGAGCGTGGGTGGGTACACGTTGCCTGCACTCTGTGTGTTTGCAAATGTTGGTCCATCTAGGGAACACGGGGGCTGCAGGCTCCAAAATTTTCTGCTCGGGAGAGTGGGGGATATCACGGGGGCTTCAAAGGCCCCTCTTCCCACAATCTACCTCTTGTCCAGTGACAGCAGTTCTGGGTCACCAGAGGTCTTAATCCTCAGATCCCATTTTGCTACCTGAAATTTGGGGGATGCGGTAGGGAGAGGTGGGGGGCCGGGGTGGCTCTTCATTTTGTTGTTTTCTTCCTCTTGCAGCTCGCTGTGAAATGAGGTCTCAGCCAGCCTCTCACCAAAAGAAATTGCTCATTGGGAAGCAGCGCCACCTGGTGGGGGACAAGGATGATGCAAGCAAACGGATGGTCTTTCCCACTGACCTAATTTAGAGAAAATTGAACGTAAGACAGAAAAGATTTGCGATTGTAAGCCTGTGCCCCAAACCTTAGAGAATGCAGGCAGCTGGCCATAAAGGTAACTTGAGCCGTCTCCCCTTCAGTGACCACGGTCTACGTTTGTTGCAAACATCTTAGACGTTTGCCGGAACTGCACAGTTTCCTCTGCACTTTCCCCTGTGCTCATTGATCAGTGCAGTGTGAAGGGTATGGGATCTTCCTCCTTCCAGTCTTACAGGTCAGAAACTTGGGGTTCAGAAGCGGTGAGTGCCACAGACACGCCGGTGTCCTCATTGGTGACAGGCCCCAGCTTCACATTGGTGCTGTATCTCACGTGCTGCTTCCTGCCCCCACTGGCCCTTCTCCGCCCAACCAGGGGCAGTGACCTGTTAAGCCGTGGAAAATGAGAGAGACCCATGGTCTTAAGTCACCCCGGGGGGCCCCTGGATGGCTGAGAGAGGACAGGGCCCGGTCCTGGTCCGCCCGAACGTCTCTTCTCTGTGTCTCACTGAGGGCCTTGAAGATGCGGGATGAGGGAAGAGGTTTCCAGAGATGGGAAACCCCAGGACTTTCAGAACTGGGCTTTAAGAATCTGCCTGTCTCAGATAAATTCAGGGAGCAGCAACTCTCACCTATTCCAGGGTTTTAAACACGTGCAAATACCTCTCTTGGAACACCGAGCTTTTAATTATCCCCAGGTGTCTCGATAAATTGAGCATTATGCAAATACTCCCTTCGTTGTAAGCCTCCATATTATGGAACTGCAGAAATGACAGAGGAGAAATGAAGTCGCAGGGCAAGTGGAAAAGACACATAACTGCTGATGTTTTTAAAGCTCCGACACGTAGACCGTCCCGAGCACTGCCTCTACTACCATCTACCGTCACTCACAATCCAAAGGCCAAGAATGACAGCAGCAAAGTCACCTTCAAGCAGGAGCAGTGCCAGTCACACCCACCCCCAAAGCTTTTCCGAATGCTAAGAATGCCACCAACTTACCGGGTAGTCCCTTAGTGCTCATTCATGCGTATCAGGGGTGAGTCTTGTTTGTAACCTGGCACGTCAGTTGTGTGCTAGGTGCCTTCATCAAGGACGCGTGTATACAAGAGGTGGCATCGATCGTGATTTTGTTCCCAGGTCCCACCCACGGTACACATGACCTTTCTCAGGCTTATTTACGGAGCGGGAATAACATTCGCTCTCTAAAATAGTTACAGGGATTAAATCCGGCAAAAGTGTGACACACAGTAGGTGCTCAAGAAACTCATGATCGCTAAAACCTTAATGCCCATCAGAGGCCAAGATACCATTAGCTCATGTAAACATCCAGCAAGCCTGCGAGGTTGTAATCTGCCCGTTTTTACACTTGGAGAGCTTGCACAGAGGCTAAGTACCCAAGGGCACAGAGCAGGTCCGTGACACAGTGGGATTGGAACCCACGGCCCTCCCCCCCGCCACCCCGCTGCTTTGTGTCCATGTCACAGGATTTCTGTAGGCCCGTCCGTGTGATGCTACAGAGCTTCCGGCGACAGGTCAGGCAAGGGGGACTCTCGGGCATCTTAACCCTTAACCTCTGCCATCTTGGAAGAGCCGGCCCTCCTCGACCTTTCTTTGTCTTACCTGAAAGCTGAGTGCTCGGTTGGGAAAGGGTGGTAGAAATTGAACTAAATGATCTCAAGATTCTGTGACTTGAGGCTTGCTTTTTTCACTTTATTATCAAAGTTTTATAATTCTTTGCCTTTACGCTTACTTTTGGCTTAACCGACTTGAAGGCCTTGTTGGGTGGGGTCAGGAACACAAACCCCAACCCCAACTGTGTCCGTGTGCTGTTGGGAGGCGAGGCTATTTTCCCGGCCTTTCGGAGCAGAGTTCCGAGAGAAAGCCTCAGGGGAGGCTGACCAGTCACTAGATGGCAGCACGAACGGGGTTCTGGCTGTGGGCCATCCACCTGAAGAGTAATTTCTCTTCCTCCTAACCCGTTAGCGTGACGTTTCTGGGTTCTTCTCTACTCGTAAAGTTTTCATTTGCGGGGCCTTTGAGTCAAAAAAATAAAGCTCATGTATTTAAAATATATATGGTAATAAAGTCTTGTGCCAGAGGACACAGGGTTAAACATAGCTCACAGTCTGGCAACACGGAAGGTCCACAGTTAAGGTCCCTGACACGTGCAAAGTATATGAAATTCAGATTTCAGTGTCCACAAATAAAGTGTATGGGAGCACAGCCACCCATTTATGTACCACGATGGCTGCTTTCGTCCTACGATGGCAAAGTGGAACAGTTACACCAGAGCCTGAAATATTTACAGTCTGAAAAAAAGCTGGCAGACCCCCGACCTCTATCAATCTCATCTTTGAGGTTCCCCAGTGTGTGAGTGGAGGGATTTGCTCTCTGTGCCTTCGGGGCTGTGTTTTCTTAGCGCAATCAAAGCGTCTGGTGCCTGAGCAGGCCTGCACACATTTAGGCAGCCACTTAGCAAACTCCTCTTGGCTGGGACCTCAGAGGGGACGAAGGGGCGTAACTAGCCACGACGGGGTGACAGGCATGGGGTCACAGGGACTGGAGAGGTGAACTCTGCCTGCCAAGAATTGGGGAAGGATTTTCAAAGGCCACAACGTCTTCATTGGACCGAGAAGGAAGAAGTCGGATGTTCCTTGTGGGGGAGGGGATGGCGCGCGGTGACGAAGGAGGAGCAGGTCTATCCCGCACCTGGGAGGGAGGCAGAAGCAGGTGGCAAAGAAAATCACGAGTTGTTTTGCTCAGTGGTGAACTTGTGGCGCCTGAGTGACGTGTGTCCGTCCCGTGGTGGCCTCAGAGTGTGGCGTCGGATCAGCCGCAGCAGTCACCTGCAGGGTTTAAATAACAACACGGGTCCCTGGCCTCGCCCTTCCCCAAACTCAGATCTACAGAACGGAAGTCCCCAAGTTTAGGGGGTGGGAACAAAGCAGAGCCATCGAAGAAGGTTGAGAGTGAGAATTCAGAAGATGGACAGCGGGGTGTGCCCTGAATGACACCCCCCCACCCCCACCCCCACCCCCACCCCCCAAAAGAACTGGCTATCACTGGCAGGCACAGCCTGCATCAGGAATTGGGGGTGGGGGGGCGTTGCCCGGGCTAGGCCGATGTTTCGTAGAGGACGGGCGCGGGGTGGGAGAGGGTGGGAGACGGACCAGTGGCCTCTCCCCTTCGGGGACACGGGGGCGCCGGGCTTAATTCCGCCCGGCTTAACGGGAGTCCTGGGCGCTGGGGAAGTCGCACTGCCGGGCTCGGCTGGGGGTGCGCAGCGCGGTCGCGAGACCCTCTCTATCGCCGTAGGGAGCGGGGAGGGGGAGGGGAGGGCGGAGAGCGGGGCTTCCCCGCCGAGACCCTGCGTGGCTCCAACGCCGCGACCCGACTCTGCGGCCTCTGCGGCCTCTCCCCTTCCTCCCGTCGCTCGGCGGCCGGCAGGGGGCGCTGCCGCGGCTGCGGGCCTAGTTCCCGGCGATCCCAGGACGCCCTCACCTGGCCCACGAGCTACCACTGAGCCTCACACCTCCTGGGGACGGGAAAGAATCCCCGGACCACCGGAGCAGCTGTCTTTTTACGCGCTGGGCGTGATGCTGGAGCAGCGAGGCCTACAGGGAAGCCGCGTCTGACTCTGCTCCGGTGGATTTCTGCAACTAGGAAAAGGTGAGTGGCTGAACTTGGCCTTCAGGACCGCAGGGGTGAGGGGAGAGGGGGCAGCTTGCCTAACACAGGGGCGCGAATTCCATTTCTGGGGCCACGAATTCTAGGTCTGGTTGACACCGCTAGGCAAGCACTTTCCAAGCATTTCAGAAGCATCTATTTACTAACAAACAAATGATATCAGAAGTCTGTTTTTAGGGAGGTTCCTGGACAGTCTTTTAAATGCAGCCTCATTGCTAACTTTCTTTAAAGGCAATATGACATAGCGATCGTCAAAGACTAATTTGAATCCTGAACCGGCCACGTGAGCTGGAGCCTCTGAGGCAAGCTCCCTTCTCTGTAGGTACAGGTTGCGGGCTGTCCATGGGGCACCGTGAGGGTTAACACCTGCAAGCTCAGTGCGGTCCCTGGCACACGGGGAGCTCGGACACATCGTTACATTTCCTTCAGCAGTGCTTTCCTATTCAAAACCTGCCTTCCTGTTCTAGGGCCTTTCAAAATTAGGAATGCCTCTTTTCTGTGGCCTAGACTGCACTTCGTTCTGTTTCTGTTAGCTGTTTTTGTTTCATACACTCATCTACCTGTGTTTTATAGCTTTCCTTTTTATAATGGATGAGCCAACATGGAAACTTGATTACTAAGGTCCATAGTTTACGTTAGGGTTCGCTGTTGTGTTGTGCATTCTGTGGGTTTTGACAAATGTATGACATTTATCCACCACTGTAGTATCTTACAGAATAGTTTCCCTGCCCCCCACCCCCACCCTGGGCTCTGCCTACTCATCCTTCCCTCCCATCCCCAGCAACCACTGATCATTCTCTCGTCTCCATGGTTTTGCCTTTTCCAGAATGTCATCTAGTCGGAATCCTACAGCATGTAGCCTTTTCAGATCGCCCTGTAAAGAATTCACATTTAAGGTTCCTCCGTGTCTGTTCATGAAATGATAGTTCACTTCACTTTTTGCTGAAGAACCTGTTTTCTGGATGGACTGCAGTGAAGGGTATCTTGGTTGCTCACAGGATTTGGTGACGATGAATAAAACTGCTCTAAGCATCGTGTGCAGGGTTTGTGTGGATGTACGTTTTCAACTTATGAGTAAATACCAAAGAGTGCAATCATTGAGCTGTATGTAAGATATGTTTAGCTTTATAAGAAACTGTCAAACTGTCTTCCATTTTATATGACTTCCATTTTGCATCCCCCCTTCCCCCCAGCAGTGAATGGAAGTTCCTGTTGCTCCAAGGCCTCACCAGCACCTCGTGCTGTCAGTGTTTTGGATTTTAGCCCTTCTAGTAAGCAAGTAGTAGCATATATCGTATGAATCTGCAGTTGCTTAGTGACATATGCGGAGCGTCTTTTCATATGTTTGTTTGCCATCTTGTTTCGTGAGGTGTCTGTTCAGATCTTTTGCTGATTTTTAAAAGCTGGGTTGTTTGTCTTCTCATGCTGAGTTTTAGGAGTTCTGTGTATATTTTGGATGTTAATCCTTCGTCCGATACAAGTTTTAAAAATCTTTTTCTCCTTGATTTTTGTTCTCTTAATGCTTTGTTCTTTCCATTGCAATGAAATGGAAACGTGGGAATATTAAGAGACCGAAATCAGTCAGAGGGTTTCATGCTGTCTTTACACTTGTCTGGTGCCACAGCAGTCAGAGCCTGGTGGCATTTCCTAGTCCCTTTATCGATGTGCCAGGAGTGGGCTCCTCAGCGCTTGCTGGATCCTTGACCAGAGCTGGCACAGATCACCTGGCCGTGGGTGTAGACCCTGGAGGCTCCCAAATCACTTCTGGGGAGGGACAGCCAGGCACTTTCAGAGGGCTTGGCCACTGCTCACCCCTTTTATTCTTTGCTCAGAAGACAGAAATCATGGGCCTCCAGTGACGTGCCCCCCCCACCCCATAACTTCTTCAACCTTATTTGGGACACAAAGGCCGAGTTCCTCCGGGATTTATTTATAGAGACACACATGGTAAAAGAAGAAGTAAGCCAGGTTTTAAATGCAGGCATCGAGCAGGGGCTGCAGGTGCAACCTGTTGCTCTTCAGTGCAGATGTGACACCTTTCTGGAACACACACACACACACACACACACACACACACACACAGACCTTCGGAAAGCCTTGGCAAAACAAAAGACAATAAGCTAGACCATGAATCCTGTCTGCTTCCCACAGGACGGGAAATCAGTGCTCGGCGGTGAAAGGGAAGTTCAGCTCTGCGGAGGAACTTTGCCCACGGGTCTCCAGAACACTCCTCCCACCCCACCCACCTCATGACAGACCGGGCAATGTCCTAACGCTCCCGAGTCACAGAGTGTCCGAGGCTCTGAAGCTCAGTGTGAAAATACGCTCGTGTTCAGCTACATTGAAAAGCATGGCGAAGAGAAGGTGAAGTCCTCTGCGGTGTGTACAGCCCTGGGAAAATAAATCATTGTGCCCAGCTGGTTCGGAATCCCAGCTGCCTCCTAAAGCCAACTTTCGGCCTGATGGCAAGTGGAGGTGCGTTTGCTCTGGCAAACATGGCAGTCATTCTCGATGGAGTACAGTTGGAAAATCCAGGGAAACAGAGTGAGGTGGGTCAGGGGCTTCTCCAGGAGCCTTCCGAGCGCCATTTGGGGGGGGCCTGTGAAACGTGGACCCCAGGGCCCACCAGGCCCCACTGTGCAGCATGCCCAGGGGGTGGGGGGCTGAGCAGGGGGCATCTCATAGGCTTCCGGGCTGCTCAGATGTGCACTGATTTTGAAAATCATGAAGTTAAAAGCACAGAGTTTAGAAACCTTAAAACTTGGATTTAAATGCAATGTCCTAAGGCTTCAGAATAGCCAAGTATCTTCTCTGCAGTTCAATATTCATTGAACGTTAATTAATTCAACACTAATTGTGGGCCTACAGTGTCGCCTCATAATTCCTTGAACCTTATGTGGGACACGAAAGACTGAGTTCCTCCTTGTATTTATAGAGATATGGAGTAAAGGACAAGTAAGCCAATTTTTAAGCTGAGGCTTCCATTAGGGTTTACACTATTCTTGTGACTTTGAACAAATATATAAATACCTTAATTTGTATCTGCAAAATGGATATAAATGGTGCCGGTACCCGTACAGCTACCGAAGGTACTGAGGCTGAAGTGTTTGCAACATGCACTAAAACATACGAGAGCTTCTCTGAAGATGAGGAAAAGGGTTTCAGAAAATACAGAATGTCTCCCTCTTCTGCTACTTTATTTCACGGGAGGTAATAATAATGATTAGCTTTTGGTCCTTATCATGAGCCGGGCATTATTTTAAGCACTCCATGCATTATTTACTCCTCAAACAATGCTTTGAAATAGGTTATAATTATACCCATTTTATAGATGAAGAAACTGAGGCAAAGAAAGGTGAAGCAGCTGGCCTGTGGTCATACAGCCAGTAAGTTGCCAAGTCAGGGTTTGAACGTGGGAACTCAGAGCCTGGGGCTTTCTTGCCTCTTTGGGCCTGCAGCCTGATAGTAAACTGAAGGAGGAACATCGAAGTCCACTTCCTGAGCAACAGGAAGTTCCCCTTTAGCAACCATATGGTAAGAATGTCCAAATAATTATTATTCTGGAGCCCACAGCAGAGCAAAAGGTTTTCTCTGATGAGAGTTAACAAAGGTGATTCAGTGGACAAAAGAGTGGTCTTTTCAACAAATGGTACTGAAACCATTGGATTTCCATATTCCAAAAACTGAAGAATTCTCACCTTGTACCTTATGCAAAGTAATGCATTTAATGGTCTGTTTTGAGTTAAATGGACCATTTACATCAAAATGAAAAAAAAATCTATAAATTTACAGATGAAAACATAGTGAAAAAAACCTTTCTGACTTTGGGCTAGGCCAAGATTTCTTAGGTGCTCCACTGAAAACATGATCCCACAAGAGACTGAATTAAACTGGGCTTCCTCAGAATTAAAACTCTGCTCTTTGAAAAACATTCAGAAATTAAAAAGACAAGGAATCAAACAGGAGAAAATATTCACACATCATGTATTTGATAAGGGACTTGCATCTAGAATGCATAAAGAACCTTAAAAACTCAGTGATAAGAAAACAACATAATACAAAATGGGCGAAAGACATGAACACATCACCGAAGAAGATATACCTATGTCAAATGAAAAGATACTCATCATGATGAGACAGCAGGGAAATAAAAATTAAACCTACAATGAGATACCCCTACAGACCCATCAGAATGGCTAAAATTAGAGACTGGCCATACCTCTTGTTGGCCAGTTTGTGGAGAAAGGGGCAAGAATGTACGATGATACAACCACTTTGGAGACGTTTGCCTGTGTTAACAAGGTAAACAAAACACTGACCATGATCCAGCCATTCTACTTTTAGGAATTTACCCAAGAGAAATGAAAGCATATGTCTCTACAAAGATTTGTGCAAGAATGATCAGCAGCTTTATGTGTTCATGGGGAAAAAGTGGAAACCACTGAAAAATCCATCCACAGGCGACACTGTGGCAATTCCACATAATTAACTATTATTCAGCAATAAAATGAAACCAACGGACACAACATGGGTGAATCTCAAAATAATTTTGTTGAATAAAGGAAGCCAGACCCCCTCCCATATACAGAAAGCATGATCCCATTTACATTACATCCTAAGACGTGCAAGCTAATCTCTAATGAGAGAAAGGGGATCAGTGCTTGCCTGAGTGTGTATATCAGGGGCATCAACAGAGGGATATGAAGAGGGGGGGCATGAGGAAACTTCTGGACATGCTCCATATAGTTACTATGGTGATTGTGGTAATGCTTTCACAGATACACATGTCAAAACATCAATGTTTACACTTCACGTGCAGTTCATTGATGCCTTTTACACTTCAGAATAGTTGTTGAAACTTTTAACTGTTTAAATAAAATTTAAAATTCAGCTGTACTAGCCGTATTTCCGGTGCTCAAGAGCCCCATGTGGCCAGTGGCCGCCATCTTGGATGCGAACACTCCCATCACAGGAGAAGGTCCTACTGACCAGCACCTCCTCTTCCAGGCTGGCACCAAGTTCTACCAACAAAGACCATTTCTTCTGGCCAAAGAGCCCACTGCCCCTTTTGTCTACAGAGCAAAATGGATGCTAGAGGGGAGGGACATTTGTCACAGGCAATCGTCTGCCATCAGGACAGGCCGTTAGAAAGGGGCCGGGTGGTAGGTGCTGCTGAGGTAGGGAAACCTCAGGAGGAGCTCTGAGGCGGGGGGAACCTGCAAGTGACTGGGGAGGAGGAGGGGGAGGAGGGGGAGGAGGGGGGAGGGGTGCAGAGGTAGCACTGACAAATGGCAGGATGGAGAAAGCTCCATCTCCTCTGACGGTGGATCTTTTGTTCCAACTGGACGAGGGAAACAAGACCCTAGACGGGAAGGGATGGGCCCAGGTTGCAACAGGATTAAATACAAAAAGCCATAGTCCGGAGAAGCCGGGCCTCGTGATGCTGGGAATCTAGGTTTGGGTGATTAGGAAACTTAAGTAGAAAGTGTAATCGTGTGAGGAACGTGGAGCGCGCCCCTTTCTTCAGTCGTACCTTGGTTTCTAGTTGTGCTTCTCAGACTCCGTGTACCTTTAGGCAATCCACCTGTTCACTGTGGCCTGGGGACCCACAGCCCCTCCTGAGACGGATGTGTTTAAGCGTGTGACATCGGGGACACAGAATTACAAAGAAATCTGGGGGTATTAAAAGGCAGTTTTGTGCCCAGAGCCTCATTGTTGGGGGCCCGGAACCTCACTGCAGGCGCAATGAGGCCCCTCGTTGAATCTGTCCTGGCCATTCGGCAATTCTCACCCGGGTTCCAGAATGCAACGGAGAGAAGAGTTTGGCTTCTCCAGAAATCGGGACTTTTTTTTGCATGTAGGGAAGGAGTGGAGAGAACAGAGGACCCCTCCTCCCCCCAGCCCTCCCCAAGTGCACTGCAGGGTCCTCTCAGCCTGGTCTGCGACCAAGTTCGGGCTCCAACTCCTCCTCCTCCAATATGTGTATTTGAAAATATCCATTTGACAAAAATATGTTGGGGCGGAGGCCTCAGTGCAGCACTGGGATGAGACCCTCAGGAGGAACCGCACGGGACCGAGGGTCGCCTTGGGTTTGAGGACACAGGGGCTGGAGGGGGCAGGTGGCCGGGGGTCGCCACCCCAGAGCCTCCCGGGGGGGGGGTGTGCCATCGGGGTGGGGGTGGAGGGAGGTGGAAGGCAGCCGGGGGTCTTGGGGTTGCCTGGCTCTGCGGCTGCGGGAGCGGCAAGGTGGGTGCCTGGGTGTGAGACTCCCCGCGGCTTGATCCCCAGGACACCCCTGTTCCCTGCGGGGACACCCCTGTTCGCCTCTCCAAGTCGCTTTTAGCAATGAGAGAGGCTTCCAGGGGAGGCCACCTCGGGGGGCGGGGAAGGGGGGTCGGGGAGTGCTGTGATGCCAGGATGGAGATGCTAAGTGTCCAGAAAAGTGCTGGCGACAGCCCGGCCCCACCTGGGATCGCCCCTGCTGGAGGCCGACGGGCCACCTGGAGCCGGTCCCCGCCTCCCGGAGCCCATCCCAGAGTGAGGAGGTGGCCGCCAGCCCCGCGCCTTCTACCCTCACCTGTGAGTGTGCGTCTGCAGGGGAGGGGAGGAGGGACCCCTGCCAAGAGGCTGGAGAGACGCAGCTTTCCCCAGGGCTGGTGGTCTTGAAGGTGCTCCCCGGTGCCCGTCAGCCGGGTCCCCAGGGCCTCAGCGGAGGGGCCGGGGCCCAGACTGGCAGGCAGCCCAGTGAGGCCCGGAAATCTTCCCTGTCTGTATCTTCTCCCCTTCTGCACCACCCCCCTCCCCAGGAGCCCGCCCATCCGCGCGGGTTTGGACTCTCAGCGTTTGGCCCCCGCCGTGAGTCGAGGAGGGAGAGACTGGCCCCGGGAATAGCTGCGTATCAGGAAGTGTGTTGCACGGGTAGGTACCGGGTCCGTGCTGGGTGAAGTGGGGACCCCCTCCCCCCACCGCCTCCCCGGTTCCCTCTGCGCTCCTCTGCAGTCCAGAAATGATGCTTCTCCGAGTGGACGGTTTAACCGCAGGCCTGGTACGAAGAAGCCATGAGGGCTTCACACCCCTGGATGTCTTCCCGACTGAGACGAGAAAAGGCCCTTCTGAGCCATCAGCTTCCTTCGAACGAGCAGATGGAAAGGCAGCAAAAAACAAAGTAAAAGCAAATGGCCTCATTCATCTATTTTTAAAATGATACTTGTGAAACACGAAGACTTGTTCGAAAACAGTTTTTTAAAGAGTAAACAGTTAAAGCCCCTGGTCTCAGAGCCCGTCTTAACTCTCTCCCCAGGGATAAGCTGTTGTGTGAAGTGTGACCACCTCCTCCCAAGTCGCCACACCTGCAGGCCCTTCCAGAGGCGGCCGCTGCTCTCACCTCATCGCCACAGATTCCATTTGTCTGTTCGTGTGTCCGTTAGCGTCTCCAGCACTTTCTGTGGGAGCTCATTCCCGTCTTCCAGGCCTCAGCTCAAGCATCACCTCCCCCCCTTCCGTGTCCCTACCCTGTCCCTGTTTTTCAGAGCACGTCACAGTTTGCAGTTTCTGTTGGTTTGCACGTGTACAGTTCTTCTCCCCAACTAGAAGGTAAGTGGCCCCTTCCAGTCACCGCTGTCCCCTGCGCCCGTAGTGCAGTGTCTAGTGTGTGTAGACGATCAGTAGGTATTTATTCAGTGAGTGAATATGTGAGCAAATGAAAGGACACGATGCCCCAGGTATGTCTGTACGGTCCTGAGTCTAGCACTATTTATAGTTTGCCCAAACGCTGGCCTCTGCCTGAGGCCAAAGACAAAATTCACCAAATTCAGATGTGAAGACAGAGGAATCCTGGAGCTGTTGCAGCCTGCCTGCAGGCAGAAAGCGGGCCCCTTCTCACCCTGTGTAACAGGATTGCTTTCTCCGCCGGACCCGGGCTTTCGCTGCGTGCTGCACAATCAGTGTTTTATGAAACAGCTGGCTTGGGCTTCAAAAGGCTCTCACCAGTGACAATCTTTACTGAAGGGAGAGAGAGGGGGCTGGTTTTTTTTTTTTTTAATGTTTTATTTATTTCTGAGAGAGAGAGAGAGACAGCGTGAGCAGGGGAGGGTCAGAAAGAGAGAGGGAGTCACAGACTGAAACAGGCTCCAGGCTCTGAGCTAACGCGAGGCTCGAACCCATGAACCGTGAGATCATGACCTGAGCCGAAGTCAGACACTTAACTGACTGAGCCACCCAGGCACCCCAAGAGGATGCTGTTTTTAAAACTTCCTTTATATTTTGTTATGTTTTAAAAGTCAGCACATAACTTCTTAAAACATTTTAATTGTGGTGAAATACACTTAACATGAAATTTACCACTGGAAGACTTTTTTAAGGAAACATACAGTCTGGCAGTGTTCACTACATTCACATCAGGCAACAAATCCCTGAGCTGTTTCCATCTGGAAAACTGGACCTCTGTAGCCATTAAGCAGCTCCCCTTTCCCCTCCCCACCCCGCCCAAATCTGCAGCTACCACCATCGAACTTTCTGTCTCTGTGAAGTTGATTGCTCTCCCGTTAAGTGGAGTCTGCTATTGAGGATTCAATATTTGTCTTAGCGCCTGGTTTCTTTCACTTAGCAACATGTCGCCAAAGGACACCGTGTTGTAGCGTGTGTCGGAATTTCCTTCCGTATTAAGGCTGAATAACATGCCGGTGAATGTGTGTGCCCCATTTCACCTTTCCTTTCATTCCTCCATGGAAACTCGGGTTGCTTCTGCCTTTGGCAGAATAAGGCTGCTGTAAATAAAGCAGAGTATCTCTTTGACGCCCTGCCTTCAATTATTTGGGGCATGGATCCACATGGGAGTTGCTGGATCATATGAGAGTTCTGCTTGTAATTTTTTGAGGCACCGCTGTGCTGTTTTCCAGAGCGTGGCATCGTTTCACATTCCTGCCAGCAGTGGATAAGTATTCTGATGTCTCCACGTCCTTGCTGACACTTGATATTATCTAGTTTCTGGAGAGTGGCCATCGTAATGGGGGTGAGGTGATAGATCATGGTGGTTTTGATTGGAATCCCCCTGATAGCAGGTGATGTTGAGAGCATCTTCTCCCATGCTTGCTGGCCATTCATATGTCTTCTTTGGAGAAATGTCTTTGGAGAAATGTTCAAATCCTGTGTCCATTTTGTAATCAGCATGGTTTTGTTGGTGGTGGTGGTTACTGAGCGCATATTACTTTTAAAATCAGAAAAGAATTTATAAAGAAAGGGGGAGAGAGCACACAGGAGGCCAATCAGGAGAGTGTAGTGGTTAAAAGCCTGGGCTCTGAAATTAGAACGTTCAGTCACCATAATTGTTGAGGGCCTTCTATGTAAGTCAGGATAAGCTAGCTAACACGTGCCCCTGAAAGCTCAGCGACCCAATACAATAACAGACTTGCTCGCTTTCCTCAAGTTCGATGTGGCCTGAGGTGGAAAAAGGTTGGAAGTTAGGGAGGGTCAGTAAGTCGTCCAGGGACTCTGTCATGTAGTCATTTAGGGACCTACGCTGCATCCATCCTGTGGCCCTGACGTCCACCACATGTGGCCTCCAAGGTCACATCGGGAGGGGATGAAAGGGAAAATTACACAAGGGTAACTTTTTATGGACCAGTCTTTGCCTGTATTACTTCAGTCTAATCTTGTTTTTTTGTTTTTTTGGTTTTTTTTAATATTTTTATTTATTTCTAGGAGAGAGAGAGAGAGACAGCGTGAGCAGGGGAGGGTCAGAGAGCGAGGGAGTCACAGACTGAAACAGGCTCCAGGCTCCGAGCTGGCAGTCAGCACAGAGCCCGACTCGGGGCTCGAACCCACGAACCGCGAGATCATGACCTGAGCGAAAGTCGGACGCTTAACCGACTAAGCCACCCAGGCGCCCCAGCGTCAGTCTAATCTTGTAATACGGCCCCACCCACTACAAAGGAGACTGGGAAACCTCCTTTTCCTGTGTGCCCGGGAGGAAGAGCAATTGCGGCATCTCTGCAGCACTACATCCCTTTGGTCACCAGACCATCTCATTCTCCTTCCCGCACACAGAAACGGCCCCTTCCCTCGGGAGACAGCCCAAAGCCGTGTCCAGGATCTGCAGATCACGTACGCTCTTCTCCCTTGGGGCCACACGCCACTCTCATGTTCTGGTGACCAACCAACTAAGGGGGGTAAGTTGTCTGCCCCACACCCCACACCCAACACACAGTTGTGAAGTAAAAATACTGAAACTCCCACTGAGAAAAGGGAGGGTGCGGTAGCCCCTGGTCCAGAGAAGCGACAGTCTCCTTGCTGTGAGACAGGCTTTGTGAGGGCTCCCTGCTCCGGGAAGGGTGATGTGCCCCGATCAGGTTCGGGCCTGACCTCTGAAGGGCAGGCTCTGCCCATTTCTCTCCTTGATCTCATCCTCACCTCAGAGGAGTCTTTCCTTCCCGATGACCGCCCCTGACTACACCTGAAGAGTTCTCTGAGGAGGAAGCCCTTCCCCTTGACGACATCCAGCTCTCGGAGCTGTCCGCCTTGCGCGCATGTCTGCCAGAGTCAAAGAAGTTTTTAAGGGTGACTTCATGATGTCCCTGGCGCTAATTCTCTAGAAGGTTATGGGCTTAATGAGGTAGAGAGAGCTGTGCAAAGGGCAGGCCTACTGGAAACCCACACAGAGATGGGTTGGACACAGGAGCCTGGCCCGTGGGGGGCAGTGCAGCCTGGAGAGGGACACTGGGGAGCCATCGCCACATCGCTGGCCTTTATCAGCAGGCCGGCGCATGTAGACAGGCCAGGGAAGAGGTCCAAAGACCGAGCCCTGGGTCACTCCAGCGGCCGGAGAGGTGGCGAGGCGCCCACTAGCAGGTGAAAGGAAGGGCCTGGGAGGAGGTGAAAATCCAGAAAAGTGTGGTGTCCGGGAAGACAGGTGACAAACGTGTCTCAAGGCAGGTGTGCTGATGGGTCACTAAGGTGGCCCAGCTGTCCTGGGCCTCCATCTGTCCTGGGCCTCCACCTGTCCTTGGCCTCCACTTGTCCTGGGCCTTGAGCTGTCCTGGGGCTCCAGCTGTCCTGGGCCTCCACCTGACCTGGCCTCCATCTGTCCTGGCCTCTAGCTGTCCTGGGCCTCCAGCTGTCCTGGGCCTCCAGCTTGCAGATGGCAGATGGAGGGACTTCTCAGCCTCTGTAGCTGCACGATAAGTCTTTCTATAGATCTACATAGATCCTGCTGGGTCTGTGTGGCCACCCCTGACAATTACAGGGCATCCTGGGAAGAGAAGGGGGAGGCGTGGTGGGCTTAGGGAGGAAGGAGGGGCGATGTGCTGGAAGAGCAAGGGGAAAACCTGGCCCGTGCTGGCCCGGAGGGGAGGACAGGCGTCACCTGAGCGGCCCCCAGCTGCTGTGCCCTCAGGACCGAGCCTGGTTTGGCCTGAGTGTGAAGGTGAAGAGCGCATTCAGGGAAGAGGCTGTAAATGTAGGAAGCCTGGGAATCGGGGGGGGGGGGGCGGTCCCAGAGGGGGCACGGACTTCATGTACTGGGGGACGGGCTTTGGGCCTCAGATATTTAGTGGATACATTTGTCCTTCCTCAAAGAGGACAAGAAACACGCAGGGTCACAAGGCTCCTCAGTGACAGGGGTGCCATCCTGATACCAGAGCCCAGACTCTCCCTGTGTCCCAGGCTTCTTAGCAGGAAACCCAGGAGTCGCTTGTCTGCCTCCTGTTCCAGAAAACCCTAGGACTCCAATCATCTTCCCTTTCCTACAAGGAGACCCTAGGTCAGTGGTTTAAACCCTCTGGGCTCACAGATCTCTCCAAGATGTTGGACAAAAATCTGTGGATTTACATGCCCACAAGGTGTCACCCGCTGTTTCTGGGGGTCATGGGTTTTCTGAAACCCATCCAGAGCCCTCAGGTGGGCACACCCCGCCCTCTGGCCTCCACATCTCATGGAAGTAGAGCTGAGATGAACAGCAGGTTGGTCCTGAAACAAAATAGTCCAGTGGCCCTGATGTGACCTCCGTTGGTAGAGCCAGTTTTTAAGGGCTCAGTGACCAAGCCACCATTTCGACAGCTCACCACCTTGTCAGAACCTCCCTGGACAGCCGGGCAAAGGAGAAGGCATTTAGACAGAAGCGTGGGGCGTGGAGGCCTCCGCTGGGGTCCAGGGAGGGGGTGGGCATTGTGCAGCTCTGTGCCACCCAGGCCCCAGCTCTTGTAAACATGCATCCCGCTGTCCCCACACGGCACTAAGGAGGTCACCTGGCCTGCTCGGGAGTGCTCTGGAAGTGTGTCCCTCAGTCAGCAGGTCAGCCCCGTCTGGGAAGCTTCCGGGCGCTCCTCTCTGGTGAGTACCCAACACAACTCCAGAAAGCTGGCTGGGGTGTGGCCAGGATTGATGTGCCCCCCAAAGCCCCACTGGCAGTCCCTGCGGTGGATGCTTCATGCTCTTTTCCAGCCTCCAAGTTAACAACCATCTCCAACTGGAAGCCGAAGCTACACGGAGCAGAAAGGGCACCTGTCCAGACGGCCCAGGGCTCAGACGGGAGGAACCCCTAGGGGGGCAGACGCTTTAGCCAAAAAGAGCCCACTCAGGAGGCCTGAAGAGGTTGGCACGGACACCCCTCAGGAATTAGCAGGACCTTGAGTTAGCCTGCTGGCCAGACATGCCTCATTATCCGGGTCCCCAGGAGCCCCTGGCTTTTTCTGGCTTTTTCTGGCTTTTCCTGTCATCTCATTTGATGCTGAAGAAACCCAGCCATTGTTTCACACTGGAAAGGAAACAATCCATTTGTCTTCTCCGTCTCCCCTCCTGGCCGCTATTTGCTGAAGATGAAGACTCTCCAACTGGTAATCACAATAAAAGCAGCCCTTAACCTTACTAATGATAAGACTGAGGAACATCAAAGTAAGCAGTTATCTTAATCATTAGGGTATTAAAATGTACTCGGGATGGATACGCTGAGAAACCAGGACTCCTTTGTGTTTTGACAAGAATGCCAAAGCCTAATTTCTAGGCAATTGCTAGATCACCAGATCCCTATCACCCACATAGAATATTGCCATTTCCTAGACCAGTAGGGCCCCATGCTGTCACCTCAAGGTAGGCCCTTTTCATAGTGAGAGTCTTAAGTCACTTTAGACTTTAAAAAAAAGTTCACTTTGGGGCACCTGGGTGGCTCAGTCAGATGGGCATCCAACTTCGGCTCAGGTCATGATCTCACGATTTGTGGGTTCGAGCCCCGTGTCGGGCTCTGTGCTGACAGCCAGCTCAGAGCCTGGAGTCTGCTTCAGATTCTGTGTCTCCCTCTCTCTCTGACCCTCCCCTGCTTGCTCATGCACTCTCTCTCTGTCTCTCAGAAATAAATTTTTTTTAAAAAGTTCACTTTTAGGGTATCCGTGACAGATGATAACTGGCATGGGACACTATCAGGGGGTGAGTGTTCTGCACGCTGGCCAGCAGGACCCTGGTCCCCAAGCATCTCTGCTTCTCCCTGACACCTTCCTCTGGGTGTTTCCCTGCCCTTTGCTGGCTTCCTCTACCTACTCACAGATCCTGTTCTCTCCAAACCTCTGCACACCTCTTCTCCAATTCCCCTTCCATCACGATTCCCATCCATCTCCGATTCCCAGCTTCCATCAGGAGCTGCCTCCTCGCTCTGATTTCTGAGCCAGGAGTGGATTCATTTGCTAAGGCCGTCCTCAGAATCGGGCCACATCTGTTCTGATCAGCTGTGGAGAGGGTGTCTTGGGCGGCACCGCATTGGCTATGAGTGGGGACAGCTTGCTTCGAGAACAGGCATGCACCTAAGAGACCCCATAACACACCTCCCGGTACCTAGTTTCAGATACACTCGCGCCTCCTCCAACGCCACAGCTGGTTATTGCCCCCCAAACAATAGGGCAGGGCCGTTTCAGAAACTGCGTGCTCAGCACAGAGTCACTTTCATCCCTGGTTATGTTGGCATTCCTTCTAGAAACTTCTCTCCATTCTGTGGTCCATTTACTAAGTGGTTAATGTAAGCACAGCCACTATAGATTGCATGTGACCCTGGAATAGAAGGGACAAATTGCATGGGTACAAAACGGCACCTCCTCCACTTGCCTCCTGGACCCACAGACTCCGGCGACGGCAGGAATGGCGGCATCATTGTGACCTGTCCGCAGTGTGTCTGCAGCTGTCATCCTAGCCTCACGGCGTTGGGCCTCCACTATTAGATTAACCACTGTGGGTGGTGGGAGAATTTGGGGTCCCCATGTGACCTCACTCCTTTGCCTCGCAGTGACTTTTGGTGACTCGATGTGACTTCTGGAGCCTCGGCCTGCTGGAAGGTTCCACACTGTGGCCAGTGCCTCTGTCACTGGAAGAGCCACCTGGCTCTCCAGCTCTGTTCTGAGGTCTCCGGGTGAACTGAGGGGCCAAGAATCCTTTCAACACTCATTTGGGTGAGACACGCCCCTTTTTATTAGGCTGGGGGGGGGTTGTAGGGCGCTCTAGCCCGTGGAGAACCAATGGGGGCTGCCCCTCAGTCTCCTGCTCTGGGGCCTTTGGGCTGAGAGGTGAACGGTTTTGGTTTGGATCACCACGCCCTGTGGAACGGCCAGCTCTCAGTAGCTGCAGTTGGGCCCAAAAGACCATAGTCCCACAGCCTTCTTTGCTTACTAGTAACCCGGGCTGGCCTCCGCACGTTTCATGGCCAGCGGGGAGCGGGGGCGCGTGAGAGCCTAGCATTTGAGCGCCTTCCCTGCTGGATCTGATTTTGACCTTATTGCATGACGGCAGGTTGGAGAGCTTTGACACAGGCGCTGTGGGTGGGGCAGGCACAGAGAAACACACGCTGCCGACTATCATGATGTTATAGGAAAGTCAACGACATTTAAAAATAAACTCGGTCACTTTGGCGGGCGGCCGGCGGGTTGGCATTTCCATCCACGGAGCCACTCATCCCACGGAGGACCCCGGGGTGGTCCACACTCTGCTTCCCCGATTGTGGTCACACACGAGCCTCCAAATAATCCTCGAGGCTGGTTTGAGGATTCCCCAGCTTATAACTGGGAAAACTGAGGCAGAGACCATTTAAGTGATTTGTTCAGGGTGACGGGGCAAGAGTAAAGACCTTGATTTCTTAACTTTTAACCCTCTTCTAGGCCTTCTGTTTGATGTGAGGAAGTCTGTATAATTTGAGCAAGGAGGTGTGTCCACGAGAGGTGTTTCCCAAGAAAGGGAGAGCAGCCTCAGTAAATGTTTAAGACGGTCACCCTTCCTTTATGCCCTGAGGCTTCCTCGTTGCCCGTCTTGCTGCCCTTGTTGTCTTTGTTAGAAATTCACTTTGCTTTCTGCGGTGCTCATTCCACATTGTTCTGCTGGGGCAGAGCGAATAATTAACTCGCAGACTTGGCCATCGCTTTGTCCTGAGCACTTGCGTCCTCCCCCGTCTGCCTCCTCTGGAGATCAAACTCTTGATCCCTTTTTCTAGTTTCCTTTGATGCGGGCCTTCATGGCTGGGAGGAGGTGCTTGTGGGTTGCTGTTCTAAGGACTCACGGAGGTCATTTCGGTCCCTACGTCTGTGAAAAGGATGAATTTGGAGGAAGGCAAGCCACCAGCCCTCCCCTTCCTCTGCTTTGTTTATGTGTTTACATCATCCCTTTTCAGCAGTCATTGTCCTGTCTATGAGAATACGAACCCTTATTTTGACAGCTGGGCAGTGTCTTTGATATCGGAAGATGTCCCTTGGGGGAGAGGGTGACAGCAGATGGGCAGCAGCTGGTGTGCACTGCGGTCGCCCCTGCGCACAGCTGTGGGTGGCTATGGTGGGATTTGGGAGAGGGGGTGCATTGCTGTCCGTTTTGTGCTTGGCCAAGTTCCCGGGGCTGCATACCTGCGGCTGCAAGCGCCGGGCTCTGAGTGGTTAGAGCCAGGCGGTCCCGGCTTCAGGGGAGAGGGGAGGAGGGGGACCCAAGAGACAGGAGAGGAAAAGTGAGAAGAGGAGCTGCGAGCCCCCCAACAGGTGCAGTCCGAGTGATGGGGGAGGGCCATGACCCAGGGCGGGGGGGGGGGGAATCCCAGGAAGGGAAGGCGGGGCCCAAGGAGGTGGTAACAGGGTGCTGGGTACATGGATGGTCTAATCGCCTGACTTGGGCTCTGTTCTCGTGTCTTCAGGCCGTGGTGACAAACTCCCGCAGGCTGGGCGGCTGGGAAACGACAGAAGCTTCTTTCTCGTGTTTCTGGAGGCTGGAGTCCAAGATCGGATGCCGGGACGGCCCGGCTCTACTCAGGGCCCCGTGCTGGCTGCACACGGCCCGCTTCTCGCTCCGTCCTCGCCTGGTGAATGGAAGGGGTGAGGGAGGCACTGAACCCACCGCCTGGGCTCCACCCTCGGGGCCTAAGCGCCCCCCAGAGGCCCCGCCTCCTCATAGCGTCACGCAGTGCGGGGTGGGGGGTAGGATCCCGGCATGTGAATCGGGAAGGGGACGCGCTCGGTCCAGA